GACATTCTGATTAGTCTTTTTGATCAAATTGGACATGGCCTCTCATATTCTTAATTATTTAAGTTCTTTGTAGCTACCACCTAAGGACCAAAATAATTTATCAGTGAAAATTGCCACAAATAGTTTAACTATTTGCATTGGTTTAACTATTTTTTTCTTGGCACAGATGAATATGGAACCAGTCCTTCCAGGGACTCCCTAGCTTCACTTCCCCTTGGCGCTATTTCCAGAAATCTTGTTTATGCTTCATTTTCTCTCCAGCCTATTGTATTAGATTGAGATTATAATGTAAACTGTTCCTTAGCACAGTGCTATTTGGACTTTTAGACTCTATGTATCAATAAAAGAAGCCCTCCCCCCACCGAAGTCTTAGTAACCAACATGAGGTTCCCAAGATTATATATACATTAAAAAATATTTTTATTGATTTCAGAGAGGAAGGGAAAAGTAAAGTTACATAGAAAATATCATGATAAATATGTGAAAATTTGGTTTTTGACTGCATGTATGCATCCTCTTTTCCTTGACATTGGCAATAGTAAAGCCGTCAAACAGCACTTGACATGAAAGTTTTTGCTTTAATTTTTTTACCACATCAGCTGGGCCCAAGATCATATTTTACTAAATATGGATATATTTTTAAAAAACAGCGCTGACCGGTTTGGCTCAGTGGATAGAGCCAATGCCTGCGGACTAAAGGGTCCCAGGTTCGATTTCGGTCAAGGGCATGTACCTCACTTGCGGCCACATCCCCAGTAGGGTGTGTGCAGGAGACAGCTCATCAATGTTTCTCTCATAGATGTTTCTGGCTCTCCCTCTCCCTCCTTTGTAAAAAATCAATAAAAAAATATATATATATATTTTTATTGATTTCAGAGAGGAAGAGAGAGGGAAGGCGAGATAGAAACATCAATGATGAGAATTATCAATTGGCTGCCTCCTGCACGCCCCCTACTGGGAATCAAGTTGTGATTTCAGAGAGAAGAAGGGAGAGGGATAGAGAGGTAGAAACATCAATAATGAGAAAGAATCATTGATTGGCTGCCTCCTACACACCCCCAACTGGAGATGAGTCAGCAACCCAGGCATGTGCCCTTGACTGGAATCAAACCCAGGATCCTTCAGTCCACAGGCTGACACTCCATTGAGCCAAACCAGCTAGGGCAATGTGGACATATTTTTTTTTAAAATATATTTTATTGATTTTTTACAGAGAGGAAGGGAGAGGGAGAGAGATAGAGAGTTAGAAACATCGATGAGAGAGAGACATCGATCAGCTGCCTCCTGCACATCTCCCACTGGGGACGTGCCCGCAACCCAGGTACATGCCCTTGACCGGAATCGAACCTGGGACCCTTTAGTACGCAGGCCGTGGCTCTATCCACTGAGCCAAACCGGTTTCAGCTGGACATATTTTTTAATGGCCAACTGTTATTAGCATCATTTGAAAAGAAAGGGCATTTTTACTTCAAAAAGGTAGGAGAAAAATAATCTCAGAATAAAGAATAGTTCTCTGCTTTGAATAAATTTAGATTTATGAAAAATTACATTATCATTACCTTTCTCACTTCCTCGAGGACTGCTAAGCATTTCTGCTCTTGCCCTGGCTGGCGTGGCTCAGTTGGTTGGGCATCGTCCTGTGCATTGAAAGGTTGCTGGTTCAATCCCTGTCAAAGGCACATGCCCGGGTTTCCGGCTCAGTCCTTTGTAGGGGGCCTGCAGGAGGCAGCTGATTGACATTTCTCTCACACTGAAGTCTCTCTCTCTCTCTCTCTCTCTCCCTTCTTCCCTCTCTAAAAATCAATTTTTAAAAAGCTTAAAAATCCTGCTCTCAGCTCTAGACTCTGAGTTGAATCTTCAAGGTTTCTTCAACTGCTGGCTCTTTCTTGATTCTTTTTTGCCCTTGATGTCTCTAACATCTGTTCTTGGATATATACAGCTGTGAATTCCTAGTGTCTTAAGGCCACTTCGCCCAGCTGTCTTTTTTTCCTGAAGCCTGGTCTCAGGTTTCTCTTTTCACACCTCCATTCAGTAATTCATAAAAACATACCTGCACTTAAAGCCAACCATCAACTTTATGAAAAACTCATTACATTATCACTACCTTTCTCACTTCCTGGAGGACTGCTAAGCATTTTTATTGAATGCTTTTTATCGAATGTATTGGGTGACTGGTCAACAAAATTATACAGCACACTGCCTTGTATTTTTTTTTTATATATTTTACTGATTTTTTACAGAGAGGAAGGGAGAGGGATAGAGAGTTAGAAACATCCATGAGAGAGAATCACTGATAGGCTGCCACCTGCACGCCCCACACGGGATGGAAATAGCCTGAGTGAGGAAATTATTTACTGTCTCTGTTTCCCTTTATATCTCTCTGGTTTGGTGCTGGGCCTTTTGTTCTCTTCCTCTTCTGAGGAACTATATCATAGACTCCTTTGGCTTCAACTAACATCACTATCCCCAAATCTCCATGATTTGTATTCCAAGCCCTCTTTTCCTCTCTATGCTCCAAACTCTTTGCTTACAGAACATTTCTATCTAATGTTTTATCTTCTCCAAAGATAAATTTATAATCTTTCTCCAACCCTACAAATCTCCTCCAGTATTCCCTCTGATATTAGGAACTGAAACCTCATCCACCCAATTACTCAAATCAAACCAGGTACCATTAGGCCGGCTGGAGTGCCTCAGTTGGTTAAGCATTGTCTTGTGCTGGGTCAGTTCCTGGTCAGTGCCCCTACCTGGGTTTGATCACAGACAACATCTATGTTTTTCTTTCCCTCCTCTCTCTAAGCATGTCCTCAGGTGAAAATGAGATATCATCCTTGATACCGGATCCTCTTTTAATGCCCTCCCCCAAATCCAATCAATCACTAATACCTCTAATTTACCTCCTAAAATGCCCATTTCTCACTGTCTTCACTGCCATTATATTATACCATATCTTTTTTTAAAATATATTTTTATTGATTTCAGAGAGGAAGGGAGAGGGAGAGAGAGATAGAAACATCAATGATGAGAGAGAATCGTCGATCAGCTGCCTCCTGCACGCCCCCTATTAGGGATCGAGCCCACAAGCCCTGGCATGGGCCCTTGACTGGAATCAAACCCTTCAGTCCGCAGGCTGACGCTCTATCCACTGAGCAAAACCAGCTAGGGCTGCACCATATCTTTTGCCTGGACTTACTGCAATACTCTTCTAATTCCCAACCTTTTCTTTTCTCCCTAAATCTATTTCCCACACTGCAACCAGAATTAAAGAGAGTTAACATCATCTAAAGCAGAAACCTGAGAATGCTATGCTATTAACCTGTTACCAGCTGATCCTTTGCAGCTAACATCTTCAGTTCCTATAGTTCTCCTTTCTGCTCAATTCTCCAGTTTGTCTGGTGCCACCCTCTTTCTCATTATGTGCCAGTCATGCTGGCGTTCTTTCAGTTCCTCACTGGTGCCAAGCACTTTCCCTGCTTGGGGCCTTTGCACTATTGTTCCCCCACTCCCTTCTCTCACTGTCTGGTCAATTTCTGGTTATCCTTCAGGCTTTAGCTGAAGCTCACCACCTCAGGGAAAACTTCCTTTGTCCCCCACACCCCCCAGGCCAGTTCCTCTGTGCTTTATCATTGCACTTTGCGCAACTTTAACTGAATAACTATTTGCTTACAGTCGGTTTCCCTGACTAGTCTATAGGCTTCAAGGGAAAGTTAACTCTTAAGTCGTTCTCTCCAGCACATTGCCTGGCCCTCAATAATTACTGGTTGAAAGAGGGATTGAATGCTTTATCTACCCAGTTGCAGAGCTGCAGCTGGAACACAGACCCATGACTAGAACAGTTTTGTTTTCTCAAACCATGAGGGGTCTGTCACATAAAATGATACCCCTCACTCCAGACTTCCTCTCCCTCTTCCCAGTGATTAAATATATTAGTTTTGTGTGTTCTGTTCAGGGGCCTATCAAAATCAATCTGGTAAACTGAAATCCTAGTTTAGAGATTAATTACCCTTCTCTCCAAGAATATTTGCATTTTAACTGGGAACTCCCAGATGACAGTAAGTAATCCCAAAGGATCTAATAATTTCAGGCACCAAGAAGATATCATTATTGGGAGGAAGGAATTTTCACTATCATGCCATAATGGAATTACAGGAATCTACAATGTACTAGACTTGCTTCAATGTCTTTTTTTAAACGTTATCTTCACAACCAGCCATAGGAGGTACTATCCCCTTTATCAAATGAGGAAATCTCTGAAAGGTTTAGTAATTTACCAGATGTTGCAAATCTGGTCTCTCCCCACCCCCCAGGTTTGACTCCCGGTCAATCTTCCTTTTACTATGCTGATTTCAGGAATAAGTGTAGGCAACTGCTTACAGTTTATACATAAATCTGGGCCATGGGGTTAAAGTGGCTGAGTAGCTTTAAAAGAAGGTTACTAGGTTTCTTTTATTCCCTTGGTGGGACCTATGCTCTGCGACTTGACATTTTATTGTCTTTTCCAGAAGTCCATCACATGTGGTGTCTGACCTTATTTATTCCAGCCATAAATGCAATTATAGGCAGAAAAAAATGAATTGAGCACTGGGAGCATAATTATGACGCAAAATCCAAGATGCCATGATATCATTTATTTTACTACTGAGTCCACCAAAGCCTCCTGTATCCAGGGTGCGAATGGTATCAGGTTGACACTTAATAGTGCATTATTTATCTGTTTACTACTATTTGCAATACCAAAAGCTATTGGGCTATCCTAGGATCAAATACCTCTGCATGAGGTGGGTTTGCCTCTGATTAAAAATGCTTTTGCCCATCCTTTGATCGCTTCTGGATTCTGATTCTTGAATACAGGATTCTCTCGGGGGCAGACTGACACTATTATGTTCTTCTTGGTGTCAGATACACCTATTTAATAACTTTGTGACTTTGAACACATTACTTAACTTCTCTGGGTCCCCCCTCCCCCCCCTCCCGCGTTGTAAAATGGAGAGACGGACAAATTATTTTGAAGATGCTGAAAGCCTTTATTAAGGCTTTGAAAACACGTAACAAAACCTAACACAGAGCAGGTATTCAAGTAGCATTAATTTCCTTTCTTCCTCAGGTAAGGACATTTTCTTTTTTTAATTGATTTTAGAGAGAGAGGAAGGCGGGGAGAGGGCGGGGGGAGGGGAGGGAATGAGGGCGGGGAGAGGGAGAGGTCGGCGGTTCCACCGATCCGTGCACACACCAGCAGGCTCCGGCATGTGCTCACCGAGTGGAACCTGCCACCACCCGGCTCAGCGGGACGACGCTCCGACCAACTGAGCTACCGGGCAGGGCAGGACATTTCCGTTTGGAGTCCATAGACTTCATGGACCTAATAGATTCTCCGGACTCCTTGAAAGTCATGAAAAATTTTGTGTAGATGTGTGAGGGGTGACTTCATTGGAAACAAAGGCCACAGATTACGGGAGGGGGGGGCGTGGATAGTGACTATCCTAAAAAAATTGTAGATTCTAAAAAAAAAAAGTGTAGATTCTCCTCCCAGCAATGACTATTTCTTGCAGGGAACCAAATTTCGGTGGGTGTTTCTGTTCTTGTTCCCTGGGCACGTTTTCTTTTGCTGTCTGCTAACAGGAGGATGACCTGGGGAGGGGCGTCTTTCGGAGGCAGCGCCCCCAGGAAGTCTCCCTGGGGGCTCTGGGACCCTCTCCGGCGTTTCCTCGCCGGTGGGGGTGGGGTGCCATCGGCAGCTGGGAACAGGTTTATTTTAAGGTCTCTCAGGCTTCAGGGGCCGGTTCCTCACCGAGAGGAAGGTTTTTGTGGGGTTTCTCCAGCTAAAGTTACTCCCTCCAGGTATTAGTTAAAAACCTCGTGGTACGACCCTGCGGTCCCCACCCTCCTAGGCCCCAACCCCGAGGCGGTGGGGGCGGCCTCCTGTAAATGGCGCCCCGAGCTGAAAAGCTTTCCCTCAAATTACTCTGATTTCCATCGTTCCTGAACTCCAACTACCACGTGGGACTCATATTCCCAGTTGAGAGATCAGACTGCCGGGGTTCAAGTTCCTATCACTCTGTCACCTGAGCAAGTTCCTGACACCATCT